CAACACCTCTGGCAGCTCAGTTCGCTGAAGCATTATCCTGTCCAGGACAGATCACGGGACAGGCAGTCAGGTGTTCGAGATGCTATTACTGGGTCGGGTGCTGAGCAAAGGTTGTGCAATCACCGGCAGCTCGCTGAACCTCCGCATGCCTCAGTTTCTCATGATGTAAATAAGGAGGGTGTTTGCTGAAGCCACAGGCTACGTAGTACTCTGTTAATATTTGAATATGTGTGGAATTGCTTAAATCCTAGGAATATTAAAAATCAGTGGAAGACTTTGTTGCATGGTGTATTATTCCACAATTTCCCTGCTATGCCTCCCACACTCACACTGTCGTTACCGCTTGCCAAGAGGTTATGGATCTTTTTGAGTGAAAGGGAGTACATAAACATAAGTTATTGTTGCTTACACCAACTGATTTACTGTGTTTCCTTGTAAAACCAATGGCTTCCATTTAAAACCTGATCCTGAAGCCAAGAAATGTTTGCTGGAACAGCAGTAGCAGCAGTAACTGATGTCAGGGTACATAGCAATGATGTGCTGGGCAATGCTTCTTGCCAGGGAAGTGCAATGAGTTTTTAGCCAAAAATTCTAAGAAAATTATGTTTTTGTGATGACATTGCATACATCCGTGTGTTAGTTTGGATTTACCATCCAAAAAAAGCATCTGCCTAATAATCTCTGAAGTGTTATATTCCAAAAGTCTTGTGAAATAGGTGGCCAGATAGAGGAGAGAGGCAGTGTTAGCATTCCCACTGAGGGACAAGCTCATCTGTTGTTAGACCCCTGAGAAAACCCACAGAGGGAAGATGTTCTGCAAGTGGCTTCTTTAGTTTCACTTTTCTCAAATTATACTTTTATATTCCCCCACATAAGATATTTTGACATTCTCATCACCTCCTGCTAGAGTTCTTCTAACTCAGAAGGTGACTTAGAGCAATTTGAAGTTTGGGAATTTGTTCATAGAGTAGTCAAATTTAAGATTAAAACTTCTCAGAAGAGTTATTTTAAGGCATTGCAAACAATTCACTACAATCTGATTCTGGCTGAAAATCTCCAGTAGTAGCTGGTTAATGGCTGCACACTGTGTTAAAAAAATCAAGGCCTACATTGATCTTTAGCTGAGCTAGATCAATAAGAACAATTCATGAGAAAATAACTGAGGGAAGGTATTTTGATTCAGGTTTAAATGCAAGTTACTCTCAGCACAGTGTCCTTCCGTTTATTTTATGGGGGTTTTCTCTCCATGTTACTGGTTAATTTAATACTGCTGACAGCTGCTGAGCTAATAGCCCTAGACACTAAAGTGCTGTCTTCCAGCAAGGGTGTAGCACTGCCGAGGAACAGCTTTGCCCATTCACTGTAAAAAGCCTTTGCAGTACTGTTGTACCAGAGAAATGAGGGGATTGTTTATAATTCAGATTGTGAAATACACTCACTTTGTTGTGAGGCAGCTCATAGGGAAAAAATAGGAAAAGTGGAAATTTTTCCCAAGGGAAATGCTGTAAATATCAACTATGGTTTGAAGTCACCTTTCATAGTGGCTTTTTAACACAAAAAAACACCCAACCTTGTGGAACATACAGCAGTTGGGAAAACCTGGCTTTTTTTTTTTTTTTTTTTTTTTTTTTTTTTTTTACTTCAGACCTAAGATTTAGTATAGCCTGCTGTACAGGGTGCAGACATGAACACCTGAGCTGGAATCCAAACCCAGCTTGAGCTCTGACCTGCTTTGTAAGTTTGGGCAAAACACATCTCTTTTGTGTCATGAAATACTAACTGGCTGACTGGTATTGTAAGAGATTATTTACCCCATTCTTCTCCCTGAAATAAGAACAATTCTCCCTAAACTCTCCAGAATGGATGTTTTACTATTTTCTCGTTAAATAAAAATATCCAAAGTTGACTATTCCACTGCTTTCCTAGGCAATTTGTTGCAGTGCTCAACTATTCTTACCCTTAACTCAACGTCTAATTTGTATCACCTTTTCCAAGATGTAAGCTCATTATTTCTTGTCCTAGACTCACTGCACGCAAAGAGCTAATTCCCTCCTGCTCTGCAGCAACCTTTTGCATATCTGAAGATGATATAATGTCTTCTTTCAGTTATGCCTTCTCTTCTTCAGACTAAATGCTTTGTAAAGTGTTCTACGAGTAGAATAAAAATGCTCTACAGGCTAGATTTTTAAAGGGCTCTGTTCCAGCGTAATCACTGAGTTTGAAGAAAAAGTATTTTCAAAAGCAGCATTTTCTCACTAGCGATGGAGAATTGCGCTGAGGCAGAGCTGGTCCCAAAGGCTATGTCCATGCTGTCATTCCAACTGCGCCTAACACCTTTCTCAAATCCAGACTCGCCAACTGTCTGCGCTGTCGACATGCAGACATAGGCGAAGGCTGAGATGAGGAGGGAAAGGTCAAGCAAGTCTCGGTGTGGATCTAAGTTTTCCTTCGCACAGTCTCTGCAGATTATTCATGAGCGGAACATGTGATAGCCCAGCCTGTCAGCAGATACTCTGATTGTGGCTCTTCTTAAGCACCATATGGATGCTTTCAGCCTGAGCTGCAGCCCTGCTAACAGTTGGTAGCGTGGATGAAAACCGCATGACATTCAGAGCTTGCTGTTGTCGGCCCTGCCACCGGGACTCACCTGTACAACCTAAAAACAACACGATGGGGTTTCACCGGGGCTTGTCCTCCTGCCTGCAGCGACACAGCCCCTGAGGTACCATTCTGAGAGCGTGGCGGGATTTCCTCAGTCCAGAAAATGGTTTTTAAAAGGCAGCCATTTAAATAAGAAAGAATTCGGTTGAAACAGAAATTTGGGATTTCTAGTTCAAGTTTCAGAGGTATCGGCCTTCTGATGATCATCCATTATGTCTCACCTGCTGTCCCCAGACAGTGATGTGATGGATAAAGCATTCATAGACCTTAGGGCTGTTTTTCTTTCCTTGGCTAGTCACACCTTTAATGGTCTCATCCTATAATTATACAGCCACCTGAATTATATGACCCTGAATCACAAAATTAGGTAACGAACCCTCATTCCATTGTGTGAGCAGAGCATCACTCCAACTTCAATGCATTGTTCCACCCCCAAAAATGCAAAAACCTTGACAATCTCTGGTTAGAAAATGGTCCTTCTCCCTATACTCATGAGGGCACAGCCGCCTGCAACTCCCTGTCCCTTCAGTTGCAGAAGTTGGATTGTACAGCGAGATTGTGTAGCCCTATTGCTGCAAAATCGTTCCTATATTTCAAAACATGGTGCTGGGAACATATGTGAGAGAAAGAGAAAGAAAGGCAGCTGAAAGCCTACAGCCAACAGCTTGTGTCAGAAAGCTGCTGAAGGAGGAAACAGTTGGGCATTTTTAATCACGACGTGGTATCTGCAGGATGAACGTGAGCAAACTTGGCTTGCGAGTGAAATTGTTTGCGATCGAATCAATTCCTGACAAACTGCACGAGACCGGGTGGTGGGCTTTGAAGTGAATTGGAACACCTGCTCCTAAAATTTTGTTCCCCGAACGTAAACTTTACCACGGCCTCCTCATACTCCCATCTGTGTATGCTGAAGGCAAACTGAAGGCAAATCACTAAACTTGCACCTCTGTGGGGAGGCAAAGCCACTTAGGAGCACGTTGTTAAGGGGGGGACATGGTGGACCACTCTGAGGTGGCCATGGCCGTGTGTTGCTGAGAGGGGAGCATGTCAGGGCTGTATCGCTGAGGAGGAACACGGCAGGGCACTGAGGTGGCCATGGCTGTGTCGCTGAGGAGGAACGCTGGCTGGGCATTCGATGAGGACGCCATGGCTGTGTCACTGAGGGGGTTCACTGGCTGAGAACTGAGGTGGCCATGGCCGTGTCGCTGAGGTAGAACATGGCAGGGCAGTGAGGTGGCCATGGCTGTGTCACTGAGGAAGAACATGGCAGGGCATTCGATGAGGCAGCCATGGCTGTGTCGCTGAGGAGGAACACTTGCTGGACATTGAGGTGGCCACGGCTGTGTTGCTGAGGAGGAACATGGCTGGGCACTGACGAGGCAGCCGTGGCTGTGTCGCTGAGGGGGTTCACTGGCTGAGCACTCCGAGGTGACCATGGCTGTGTTGCTGATGAAGAACATGGCAGGGTGCTGAGGCAGCCATGGCTGTGTCGCTGAGGAGGAACACGGCAGGGCACTGAGGTGGCCACAGCTGTGTTACTGAGGAGGAACGCTGGCTGGGCATTCGACGAGGCCGCCATGGCTGTGTCGCTGAGGAGGAACGCTGGCTGGGCATTCGATGAGGCAGCCATGGCTGTGTCGCTGAGGGGTTTCACTGGCTGGGCACTCTGAGGTGACCATGGCTGTCTCGCTGAGGAGGAACACGGCCGGGCACTGAGGTGGCCATGGCTGTGTCGCTGAGGGGGTTCACTGGCTGGCACTCTGAGGCGACCATGGCTGTGTTGCTGATGAAGAACATGGCTGGGCATTCGATGAGGCAGCCATGGCTGTATCGCTGAGGAGGAACACGGCAGGGCACTGAGGTGGGCACGGCTGTGTCGCTGAGGGGTTTCACTGACTGGGCACTCAATGAGGCGGCCATGTCTGTGTCGCTGAGGGGGTTCACTGGCTGGCACTCTGAGGTGACCATGGCTGTGTTGCTGATGAAGAACATGGCAGAGCGCTGAGGCAGCCATGGCTGTCTCGCTGAGGAGGAACATGGCAGGGCACTGAGGTGGCCATGGCTGTGTTGCTGAGGAGGAACATGGCCAGGCACTGATGAGGCAGCCATGTCTGTGTCGCTGAGGGGGTTCACTGGCTGGCACTCTGAGGCAGCCATGGCCGTGTGTCGCTGAGGAGGAACACGGCCGGGCACTGAGGCGGCCACGGCCGTGTACCCCCACGGGAGCCGGCCCCGGGGCAGCCGCGGGCAGGCGGCGGGCGGCCGGCGGCCCCGCCACACTCAAGATGTCGGCGCCGCCGCAGCGGTGCCCGCCCCGCCGTGACGTGCGGCGTCAGCTGACGGCGGAGGCGCCGGTGCGCGGCGGCGGGGGGCGGGCGCCGGCACTCGGAGTTGGCCGCCGCCGCCGCGCAGAGCCGCCGCCGGGCCTGAGGCCGAGCAGCCGCCGCCATGCCCTCGGAGAAGAGCTTCAAGCAGCGCCGCACCTTCGGTGAGCTCCCCGGGAAAGGACGCGGCGGGGCGGGGTGACTGACAAGGCCCGCTGGCTGCCCCGGCTCCCTCCGGGCCTCGTCGGGCGGGCGGCGGGGCGGGCCAGCGGTCGCTGCGGAGGACGGGGGGCGGTGGGGATCGGTGGGGCGGGGAAGGGGCAGATGTCGTTAGGAGCCGCGGGAGATCCCCAGGCCGGGGGGCCGGCTCCTGCTGACAGCGAGGGATCCGCGGCCGGAGCGGGCCCGGCCGCCCTGCCCCGGTCACCGGCATCGCCGCGTCGCTCCGCCGAGCGCTGCGGGGGTTTCCCCGGCTGGCGGGGGGGGGAAGGGGAGTCGCCGCCGCTTCGGGGCTGAAACGGGACAAACCCCGGCCCGGCCTCCGCTGGTCCTGCGCGGCCGTGGGGCTTGTTCGGCCGCGGTAAGCGGGCCGAGCCTTCCCGCTGCGGGGCGGGAGCCTGGAAGTTTGGGCCAAAGGGGCTTTTTTGGGTGTCCGGAGCGGGGGTGTCAGCGAGGTGCGGAGGTGGGTGGCAGTGCCGTGCTGGGGTGAGCGTTGGGAGTGGGGCTCGGGGTGGGGGAGGTCACCTCTCCGCATCATCCATTATCGACTGCAGAATTCCCAGGAGCCTGGAAACATCACTTGGCGTGGTGTGTGCCAGGAGCTGGGCCTGCCCAGCCCTCCCGATGTGCCTGCTCAGTGTCCGGCTTCATCTGTGCTATTGACAGGAGAATTAAGCTCCGCTCGCAATTTGGTGCTTGGCGCTGCACGAGGAATTCTCTACCCGGGTAGCTGTGAGCAGGCTGGGGTGTATGCCTCCCGCCTGCCTTGAGTTATTGAAAACTAGCAAGTCATCGAAAAGAGCTGTGTAATGATGGCTGGGGAAATGAGATTAGTTTCTTTCTAGAAGGAACAGCCTTGGTAGAGCGGTGCCAACAGTTCTTTCTGTGCTTAGGATGGGACCAAAGCAATCAAAAGAGCTCAGTATCTGTTATGTGTGTTGGAGAGGTAGGCTGAAATGCTCCAAGGATAACAATAACTGGCAGCATAACCCATTTCTGCATGAACTATAAAATCCCATACGTAAAATGGAATTGGTGGAAGTAACTGATCCAGATTTTCTTTTCCTTCTGCCTTTGGGTTAAAGTCAGGCTGCTTAAGAGAGCTGTCTGGTGTGCCCACCCTCGTCTTTGCTGTTCTGTTAGATGTAAGCTGTTCTCCTCGTTGAAGCAGAGAGAATTTTGATCTAACGAAGGCTGTGTTTAAGCTGCCCCTTTTCTTAGAGTCTTCCAAAACTGTTGTTGACCCCATTGCCTGTCAGCAGCCTCTATTGCAGGTATTAAGTTCAGCTAGGATGGCAGCCAAGTAGTTGCCACTGCAACTAATGTCGTCAGAGAGCCGTGTTTATCTGTGGCTGACTGAAGCCTGATTTTGAACACGCCATATATAATAATCTCAATGATTTGTTCGCTTTATGTTCCTTCTACTCCAGGGAGTTCTGCTGAATAACACTGCCATAAACAACCCCATTTCAGTTGGAAACTTAGTCAAACCTCTCTCTGCTTGCTAAGTTGACGGTTGGTCTCATTCAGTCCCCATATCTCTTGTGATTCTGGTTAATCTTAACAAGTATTTTAATTGGCTAGTATCTCTGCCCTTGAAGTGTTAACGCAGGTCAGTTAGAGCGTGGCTCGGGCTGTGGGACGTGAAGCAGGATGGCTTTCAGGTCCTTGGTCTTGCAGTCAGGTGAAGGCTTTGCATTCTCCTCGCCTGAGTTCTGCTTGATTCACCTCCAGCTCAAAACCATGATTCACATGAGTTGCATTTCCTTACTGGGCTCATAAAAAGGCACACGGCTATATTTCATGCACACAGACTTAATATAGACTAATGGAGAGCTGTGTGATGTTATTCCTGAGTGGTGGGACAGGTCGTGTGTCCTGTGCATTAGCATACCAGCAATGAGTTGGGCTGACGGGTGCTGATCTAAGCTCTTCCTCTCCCGTGAGCAGCACCTCTCCCTAGGTAGGTGACTGTTAAAGCTGTGATGCAACACTAAATCTTCTCTCTGAGAGGTGTTTACAAGATGGAGATGGCCTGGAAAGCCCCGGCCTGCTGAAGAGAACTGGAGAGGTTAAAATTGAGTTCACTGAATCTGAAAGTAGGCAGGGTATAAGCAGATGCAACTGCCTCTGAAAGCAACTGCGTTTGTTTACTTTGGCTCGGACGTGTACTTTAGCCCGGTTTTTAATATCTGTGCTATTAATATTTATGTCTGAGGGGAGGTGAACTTTATCCTGAAAACTGGCACAGAGAGCGGTGAAATGTCTAGGTACACAAGAACCTACCAACAGCTTCTGCAACAATGGGTGCGGCATAATCAAAATAGAAAACTGTAATTCGGTAATAGTAGAACACACGGCGTAAGCTGATGCTGCCAGGCTTCAGCTAGTCTTCGGTCTCAAGTAATTGTTGACAACTTCCTCTTCTGGGATCTCGCAGAAACAGTACAGGATATTTAGTCATTAACTTGGGTGGTGTAATTTGATGCCATAAATTTCTGAGATTAAATGTCTGGTTTAGTGGGCAGAAAATGAGGGATGGGAGGAGGGGTGTCTGTCTCCTTTACCACTTTCTAGGAGTCCCAGGCAGCGTGCGTGCAGTACTGGTCACCTTGGGCTAAAGAGCAAGGTGTCAGCTGTCAGAGGAGAGGTTTTACTTGTGACAGTGCTGTCCAATTTGAAAACAGCTTTGCCTGAATTTGCCTTTGTGTCTTTTACTAACATGCAGTTCCTCTCCTCAGTGGTGGAGAAATAAGGTAATAACAGCATTAAGTCTGGATGTTTGAACAAACATTTTTTAATCTCTTACAGAGCAAAGAGTGGAAGATGTACGACTGATCCGAGATCAGCATCCAACTAAAATACCAGTAAGTCTGTTTCTTTTCATTTTTCACTTCGATTTCCAGTCTCGTTTTCTTTTTACTATTTAGAAACGTGTAAAAGAGCTGTCCTGATGAGACCAAACTCAAATTTAGCCATTCAGGGTTGTTAGGCCTGGATTTCAGAAACATTCTCCAACTAGTAACCAGCAGTCAGTGTGGCAGAGCAAGGTGCTGGCTGGGGACTGGAGGAAATGGGGTTTCCTGTGTATTAAAGCTGCATGTTGTAACTTCAAAGAAAAACCACACCCTGGCTGAGCTCTGAGATTCTCCTGAGTGTTCAGCTCTTCTCATCTCAGCGTTTCTCTTCTCCAAAAGAAGACTCTGCAGAGGCTAACCAAGAAGCATACACAGTGATGTAGTGACAGGCACAGCTTTCATCACCAGTCAGTGCTGAGGAGGACAGAAACGTTTTCCTTCCGGGAAATGAGTCTGTGCTCGAGGTCTCCAGAAATGCTGCTTGGCTGTCAAACCCCTCCACCTCACCTCAGAGAGGAGATCAGCCTTCACTTTGTTGCTCTTTTTCAGCTGGTCAGCTCCAAATGCTGCCTGCATTTTTATTTTCTTTTATTTATGGCATCCTCAAGGTTACAAATGCAAAGCAAAGCATCCTAAGAAGCAAAAGGCAGGGATCGTGTTCTACTGCTGATGAGTTCTTCACAACTGGTGGGCTTTGTGTGACGGCTGTCGCTGCAGTAAGCAATAAATAAATGCCACCGTCCTTACGGCCGTTTGGTGGAACAGGGAAGGTCTCAGGAGATCTTGGGGGGCAGAAGAGAGAACTTAATCAGACGCCTCCACCTTTGGTTCTCAGTGGTGAGAGCTGATGATCCCTGTGAGTGAAAATTCTTCTGTGAACAAACCGCTCACAAACTGTCTGCACTTCCAGTGCAAGTTCATTAGCAGAAGCAGTTGTTGCCTCCATGTCAGATAGAAACCAAAAGGTTTTCACCTTTCCTTTAGCTTTAAACGACTTCATCCCAAAGCTGCTGCTGCTGTTTTACTATGCTGCTGGGCATGGGAACAAGTAATATTTTATAGCGGAGATTTGATGGCTTTTCTGGAATGTGCAGTTTTCCCAAAGGGCCCTTTCCTAACAAATCTGTTTCCTGACAGAAGATTGCTTTTTCCCCCCACCTTTCCACAGATCAGTTAGCCGTAGCCCCCAAGCTCTGTGATCACACATTGAAAGCTGTTGATTTATAGCAAAGCTCTCCTTTTAAGTCAGCCGTGGACATCCGATTAGCAAAAACTCAGAGGTAAGGAACTTGCTGAAGATGCAGTGATGCAAACTCACAACTATGGCAGAGCCCTGCTGGGATCTCTGGGGGCTTGCTGTGGTTGCCTGTCCGTGTCCTCGCTTCAGTCACGGCCTCGTTATTATCATTAGCAGTTCTGGATGAGATAAGATAAGCAATGTCACGCTAGACGGTAATTCCCTCCTGTGCTGTCAACATCCTTCATTTTGCCATTGGAAATATTACCTATTGGTTATGGTCTACCTTTTTAAAAATAGTATTGTTTTCTTTCCAGAATGAGCCAGCATTTATTTAAACTGATGTAAGAAAGTCTTTCTCTGATATAATTAAATTGGCTCAATATCTCTTCACCTGTGCAGTTTTTGAATATCAACACAGCCAGACCCCGTGAGCATGGAAAGGATCCAAGTGAGTGGTGTCACGTAGCTACCGTTGATTTAAAAACAACAAAACCCACATGGCTGTGGAAACGGGAGCACACAAATTCTGAGATCATTTCTTCAAAGCAGGAACTATACACAGTTGCTGGGCAGGGTGCTACTTAAATTGGCAAATCTGCAATTTCCTTGTGAATTAAGTAGCTACTACATAACAATCTTGAGAGATTTACTGGTTCCTAAGCATGCTGTCTTGAGATTAAGGAGGAGGGAATTCTCTCCTTTGAGGCTTTATACCCCTCAAAAGTAGCTTTCTCTCATGCATTAGAGTAACCGTGGAAGGTGAATGGAATAGCATACTAATCCGGAGGTGTAGTTCTTAGAAAGACATGGCCTGAAACTGGAGAAATTCTAGTGAAAACTGAGCTTGCAGACTACCATAGCAGCACAAGCCCCTAGTCAGTCACTGTAATGTGTTCGAGGGAAGTGTGCGTTATTTTTTCTTGGGTTTCCTTGTTGCTGGGTAATTCAGTGCTAGATTAAATGATTCCAGCAAATGAACTGTTCTAAAACTGCACTGAAGCTGCGGACGTGTGCTGTTAAATCCCTGTTTCTCACCCCTTCGTGCAGTGACTCTTGCAAGCAGAACAAAAGGAGCACGTGAAGATAATTTTAATTGTTCCTTTTCAGATTTGAGATCCTGCGTTCACAAATGAAGGGAAGCGGGAGTTCAGCGTAAACGCTTGTACTTTGCTGTGTTTAAAATGGAGGAAGGGGAGATGAGGGCACCAGACGCTGTTGCTGCCTTTCACATCTTCTGCTCCTCCTTTCTTTTTGTGTTTCTTCTTAGGTGATCATTGAAAGGTACAAGGGAGAGAAGCAGCTTCCAGTTTTGGATAAGACCAAGTTCCTGGTGCCAGATCATGTCAACATGAGCGAGCTAATCAAAATTATCAGGTAGTATGCTGTGATTTCAGTGTAATCAACCCGAGACTATGATTCTTTGTTAATTCCCCACCATTTGGGAGCTCTTTAAATGGAAAATTCATCTCAGGAGCGCTTGGTATCCTCACTAGGACAAATTCATGAGAAGATGTTTTTCCTTTGGCTTTGCTGGGACGAAAAACCTCTGAAGAGAGCTGAGCTGTTAGTCTGCTTTCAAGAGAAATAGCTGGTTCCCAGGGATGTAGGAGGGAGCCTGGGGCTGTGAATCCCTGCCTAACATGGGTGCTGCTGGCCCAGGGCTCCAGCCCTTCCCACTTGGCTGTTTTAGGATCCCTTCTCCATGTTCTGCCTGGGAATCCCTCTCCGGGGTGCCTGCCTCTTCCCACCCGCCGGCGGGGGAGTTTGGGCTCACAGCCAGAGCTCTGAGCTGGTGCTTAGGGTTGATGTTGGCATCCTTTGATCGTGAAGTGAGGTTTCCCTCAATGACAGTTTCGAGGCCTGAAAAACACATGTTCAGACCCAGTGTCTTTTTGTCCCAGCTGTTTGCGCAGCCTGTGGCTTGAGCACTGCTCCGCTCTGGTGCTCCAGCTTTGCTTACAAGAAAAGGCAAAAGGGGAAGCAGCCAAGGAGTGGAAGTTGTGTGGTCAAAAATTGTGGTCAGAAATTCTGCTAGAAGTGCATTTCTCCTGGCTTAGAAAGAATATCTGGTTAGTAAGAGTTCTCAAGTGGTCGACTTGGAAGTTAGCAGCAAGCCAGAGTTTGCTTTTTGTTGGTCACGGGGTAGCCCGGAGATGATTTGTGGAGGCCACGAGCTGTAAAAATGGAGAGCTGTCCCGCATGTCCAAACAATTCCCGGCCTCCGAGCCTTGGACAAAAACTGTCACAAGCAAATCCCAGCTTTTACGTGAGTAAGAGAGTGAGAGAGGGTTTTGGAAGCAGGAGCCAGATTGCTCAAGTCTTCCAGAATTTCTCATGAACATTAAAGGCCCTGGGCAAAAAGGTTAACAGCGATCTGAAGGATTTTTCCCACCTTTTTTTATTTGGCTTCACTGCGGATAGGTGACTTGGTCCTCAGCCAGCTGTGCGCAGCAAAGCCCCGTCCGTCCCCGCCCTCGGGTGGCCGCTGCCTTCTCTCAGCCTGCTCTCTCTGGAGCGAGGAGGGCTTGGTTTTGGAAGGGTCCCTTTCCAGGGCAGCTCAATAAATCCTTGTTTCCAGCTGCTGCCGCCCCTCAGCAGCGAGCGGAAGCGGCGGGAAGCTCTTCAGATCCGTTGTTCTCTCCTCCTTTCTTCGGTTGCACCTCCACATAGCCGAGTTCCTTTTGCTTAATTTGCTTTCTGAAGTAGTAGGAGAGCTCCTCTGGGCAAACTTGCTTTCCGGTAGGCAGCTTAGCAGAAATACCTTTTTTCCCCCCCAGCTGGAATGAGTGATCCTTGGGGGACCCTGAGGTTAGATGTTTACTGTGCCACGCACTCTGCGAGGTCTGTCACGCTCTGCCCTTCCCACGATGCTTCTCCTGGGAGGGAGGAGAAAAGGGGGGCAAGACGCTGCAAAGGTCAAACGCAGGCTGTCCTAGAGCTGCTGACAAGAGGGATTTTTAAAAGGTCCAGGGCCTTCTCCTGGAAGCTCTGCCCGTCCTCCCTCCCCATCTTCACCCCGATCACAAGGTCAGCTTGGGTTTGCATTTCCAGCGAGAGGCTGGTGAGCGAAGCCGCGAGGCAGAGGTGCTGCGGGCTTTGAGCACCTCTGCCTTCTCCCCTCGGTTGCACGCCCTCCCGGAGCGTAGATTTTTTTTTTTTTTTCCCCCAGTGAAATACAGGCGTTTGTCGGTGGCTGTCGTAGACGAATTTCGCACGGCTTCCAGGTGGGAAACAAACACCTTCTCTGGAGGCCGGGCTGCTTTGGGTGGGGACTCCTGACCGCTGCCAGCGGTGGAGGGCTGGGCCCGGCCCTCTGTCCTGCGTTGGTGTGAGCAGAAACGCGTAGTCACCGCTGTCAAACTCCTTCCCCCCCCCCCCCCTCAACCTCTTCCCTCTGCTCCCCCCCGACCTCCCCCCAACAGGCGACGCCTGCAGCTGAACTCCAACCAGGCCTTCTTCCTCCTGGTGAACGGACACAGCATGGTGAGCGTTTCCACACCCATATCCGAGGTGTACGAGAGCGAGAAGGACGAGGACGGCTTCCTGTACATGGTGTACGCCTCTCAGGAGACTTTCGGAATGCAATCTTCCGTCTAAAACACGCAAGCGGCTTCTAGCCTAGGATTTTGGTTTACCCTTGGCCATCACCCCCACTCCTCCCCACACGCACCCCAGGGAAAGAAACGGATGTCACCTACGCTCTCAGTACCTTAGCATAGTCTTGCTTTAGCAGGTGTCTCATCTTACCTTGCCTTGTTTGTGACTATTAAACAGTACAGACGAGCACCTCCGGCTTTGAAACCTGCTGTAATACTCCACACAGGCACATTTACATTTCTGGACTTTATGAATGGAACCCAATTGTGCATGTGACAATTGCAAATAAAGGGACAGTCGATTGACTTTAAAAAGCAAACAGGCACCAGGGAGGAGCTAAAGTGTTTCGTGTGACAGTTTTCTGGAAAATCTCCCTATGATTCCTTAAAGCTTTGGGGTTTTTTTGGGGCTTTTCTTAATAAAATGGGAAGGCTTCTCATGAGAGCGAATAAGTTTTAACACGTTCCAAAGCAGAGCTTTGTCTTCTGCAGCTCGATCAGACTCGGGTCAGCGCTGCAGTGAGTTAAGGCGAGCGCTTGGGGTGAGCTGGGGGAGTACAACTCTTTTTTTTTTTTTTTTTTTTGTCACCGTTTTTTTGTGCCGCCGCCAACTTAGGAACGGCGCCAGTTTCTGAAATACTCATACCAAACACCACAGCTTTATTGTAGTTTTAGGAAGTGTTGAACTGTAAAATACAACACCCGGACAGGTAACATTAAATAAACTCCAGTCTGTTATGAATTTCCAATCCCTGTGTGTTCGGTGAACCACTGCCGTCGAGATGAGCTCGCTTCCAAAAGATCCTCCCCCTCGCCAAGCCCGGAGGTTTTGCGGGTCCCTCCCACGGGCAGGGTCCGTGGGGAGGGGGTGGGCGCGGGGCCGGCCGCCAGCACAGGGGCGCAGCGCCCGCGTTTGGGGCTCGGGAACCACCGCCCGTCCTCGGTGTCCCCAGCTTTTATCGGAGGCACCTCCTGAACCGCGCCGCCGGAATCCCCAACCCGCCGGGGGTTTGCGTGGTCCCACCGAGGGGCTGGGGGGGGTTAGTCGGGGAGAACCGCTTTGAGAAGCGGCTCACGTCCAGGAGTTGCTGTCGGGAGTTGACGAACAAATTGTTTTTATTTTCTTTTTTCCATCACTGAAGCCTCCTGCCACTTGCACGGGGTTTGGAAGGTCTCAGAGTCGCTACTGTCCTGAGCAGGGAGGAGCCTGTGCAGAGGAAGGGTCCCTTATCATGCAGGACCTCTGGTTTTCCTCTCGAGTCGTTAAGTGTAGCAGGATGAGTTTTTTCTTGTATATTATGTGTCTGTGAACTAACTACAGCTGTTACTGGAAGCTAACTTACTATAACAGGGGGAGAAAGAAGCAATACTACTGCGTCTCGGCACTCTAGCTCAATAAGGTGTACACAATTTGTACCTACCTACACCTCTCTGCATGCATCTCGTTCACCACGCTTCCTTCAGATTTTTTTATTGGTCTTTGTGTTTTTACTCCCAACGTAAACTTTTAAGCGCAGCTTGTTCTATGTTTAGTTTTGTCCGTGTAAGAAATTGTTTAACTCATAACTGACAACCATACTTGTAATTACGACGTGATTGACTTGATATTCCTGTACAAATGTTGCTTTTTTAAAATTAATACAGTGCTGATATGGATGGATTACATCCCAACTTCACGCGTGGCTCGTGTGGTTATTTCTAGATGGTTTCTCGGTTCCACCTGCTTGGGGCTGCACGGGGCGGGGAGCTAAATCCCGCTGCCCACAACGAGACGCAGCGATCGTCACGAGCGGAGGAATTCGGGGTGTAACGGAACAGCTGGGGCACCCGGCTGCGTTTCTGTGCCCCCGCTTTGTTTCTGCTCCCCCGCGGAATCCCGCCGCTCCCGCGAGCCCCGCTCTGGCACCGGAGCCCGGACGCTCGGCCAAAGGCACAAAAAGCTTCGCTGCTCCTCCGCCCCCCGGCACGGGGAAGGGGCTCGGGCAGGAGTCGGGCCCTGGCTGCCAGCGGGAAGGAAGAGCCAGCACCAAGCTGAAAATGGAATTTATTTTTGAAAAAAATAAAGAGGTCCCTGATACCTACCAAGCTGGAGAAGCCTTCACACAGATGAAGCCCCTTTCAATTAAAAAAAATCCCAAATTTAAAAAAATTACAAAGGGATTCTGTTTAACTCTTTATTTTCCATACATTAAATTTACTCAGATAAAAACATTCTAAAAATGTACAATTTTACTTTTAACAAAGTATAATAAAACATAAAAATCCCAATACCAGAATACTTGACATTTACAATTCAAAATCAAATTAGCGGAATATTAAATATTTACAAAACTATTTAAAATATTTATAAAGTTACATGCACAATTTGTAATACTAGAATTGACGGAAGTAAAAGAAATGGCTCAAATGGGAGCAGGAGTTTCCTTCATTCCTAGTGGAAAGTTATGTCCAAGAGAAGCTGTTAATCTGCACTTGAAAACACACAGGATTTGCTTTCTGCTTCAGTACCGACATGCTTCTGGCTTACGTAAGAAACATTTTAAGAGAGCAAACGGGTAGTTCCAAGGGTTTATGACAAGGTGGCGGTGGGCAGCACAAGGGTTTGCTACACTCTGGCTCGGTTACGTGGATTTCTGTCCAGATTTGCCCGCACCCACCTCATTTCACGGGTGTTTTTTTGGCTCCCCGAATCCACAGCTCCGAGCGTCCGTGACCTCCGATGCACGAACAGCCAGCCACCCCCTCCGCGGGGGATTCGGCTGATGGCATTTTTATTTTGGGGAGGAGCGTTGCTCTGCCAAATACCACAGACTACATTTAATTTTTGAGTACCTTCTCCCTGAAGCTTGCCAGCGAGAAAAAACATGAAACAGAATTTTGGGTAACAGTAAAGGTCTAGTGTCAGACCGTTTTTTTTGTGTTTTTTTTTTTTTTCTTTCTTTTTTTTTCAGAAGCCTGACGCTTAATTTGCCAAGATTTAATATCCGTGGTTTAAAAAAGTTTCACAAAACGCGAGGTGTGACATGCTGCTTTATGGAAAACTCTCAGATCAATACCTGGCTTGCTAAAATGAGGCTTCCCTCTTCCCTCTCCTGCTGTTCTGCGCCGAGCCTGGCAGATTTATTAATGCTTAATTCGCAGGCTGCCGGCGCGAGGAGGAGTTTGCTGGAAATTCCACCCTATTTTGGGTATTTCCATCGCCAACACTCCCAAACGGAAAACACTTCTCAAACCGCCCCGCGCGTCGCTCACTCCCCCGAGGGAAGACTCATCGCTCACTTCTCCGTGCCCCTGCGAGGAGGTGACTCGGGGCTCCCTCCCGTCTTACACGGAAAAAAAATCACTTCTACTCCACAGTGAAATCCATTTTGAGAACTCATTCTTTTTATACTTTTAGGACAAAGCTAGGAATAAATAGCGTTCTTTGAAATCTCCAACTTTCAATGTATAAAAATAGGTTTTAAGAACTGGTTCTTTCAGCCAGCGAAGCTGGAACTATTCTAAAACAAGCTGCCTTACTTTCCCGGGGTAAAAAGCTGGATTTGTGCCTTTCAAAAACAGATTAAGGAGTATTTCACGGAACTAAAGTGCTCTGTTCGGACTTACCAACTTTGGTTGTTCGTGGGACAAAGTGGACAGCGCTCCCGAGCAGATCTGAAGCCGCAACTCGCTTTGACCGCGGGGAGGCTCTGCCACTGCTGCTGGCTCAGCAAACATTTCTGTGTTACCCTCGCGGTGCTTTAAGGTACTCGAGACTTCTGAATTTGAACTTACTCTAAAACCAGACTTCACCATTTAAAAACGTTACCTAAAAGTACACATAAGCCACTCGTAAGAAACGTCAGCCTTAACTTTACACAAAGGAAACAATCCCAAAGAAAGCTCCGAAGAAAGGAATGAAACAGTTTGCTGGACAGAAGCTCAGTTTTACAGTCCTTTTGTTACGGTTTCGACTCGGTGATGAATATTAGACGAGACTCCGTGCCCAGCCCTGGGCATTAAAGTAAAACGCAACTAGTACAGAAATTTTTTTTTTTTTTTTTTGCTATTGATTTTTGCTATTTTGAGAGGGTTTTTAACACTTGTTTCAACGCGTGTGTTGAAATACAGTTTATTTAAATACAATTCGGTTTTAAAATATTGTTTAAAAAAATTGAAAAAAAAAAACCACAAAAAAACCCCAACCAAAACAAAACCAAAAATGAAATGTTAAGGTTTGGCTTTCAGCACATGTTCCAGGCCACTGGAGAGACCCTCAAAGCTGTAACTAGTAAACATCGTCACTGAAAACCTGCACGTTTCCTTCAGCGCCGTTCAGCGTGACAGATTGTTCCTACCATTGTCTCAAGCTCATTAAGGCAAAGTAAATTGCATTGTCAGGTTGGAGCACGTTCGTGGTGTAGGTCTGAAGGTTGCTCGTGAGAAGAGAGGTGACCTCCCCACCCGTGGGCAGAGCGTTTCCAGTGGGTGCGATACTGCGGGCTGTGTGAGCTGGGCTCAGAATACACAAAGCGGATTTTTTTTTTTTTTCCCCCGTTGCATAGGCAGAAAAAAAAAAAAATTTTTCTTTTTTTTTTTTAAAAAAAAAAGCCCAAACATTACGCAAATTTAGATTTTGGTTTCCCCCAAGCCAAATCCACCACGAGGCAGCAGATCTCTACCGGGACCGAGTTTGGTTTCGTGCTATCTCGCCTTACCCCGCCGTTTGCCCTGCCTGCCCTCCCCCCCCCCCCGAGGACCCCCGACATTTATTTCTTCCCTAAGAACACGGTCCAGGAAGGGCTCGACTGTCAAGCTCCTGCGTCACCCCTCGCGTTGCCGTTGCATTTCTAAGGCCCGAGCTCCCCGGGGGCAGCTCCGCGCCACTTCCAAACCTCCTCGGACGGGACTTCCCTCACCTCCAAGCCAAAGTCAGCTCCGCCACTACAAATCCTACTCATCCTGGTGTGGTTTAAACTGGTGTGAGAAATACCTCCGAGTGTAAACAAGGCTTCAGACTTTAAAGGTGTCTTCCAAATTACAGTATGCAAATATCTTTATGTCCGACATTTTAAAGAGAAGGCCTCACCCACCTAATGCCGTCAGATTCCCCGGGTGAGCCGGGCGGATTAGTATCTTCTTTCAACCAGACAGGACCAAACTGTTTCAAATTAGCAGTTCAAGATTTGTTTGGCTTCCTCTCAAGTCCTAATTTAGATTTGTCACCCACAGATTATGTACGCTAAGTAGTTAACACCAAAGCTAGTCATCTACAACCTATTGCAACGAAGGAGGCTGACAATAAATCCTTCAAAGTCTTGATAATAATGAAGTTTACTACCTTTTACATGTTTGACTTCTACCACTTCTGAATCCTGTAGCAAAAGCCTTGGGGTAGGAGTCAAAGGGGTTTTTTATATAAAGTAAAGCAAAAGCTTACAAACTCTGCTGCCAGAGTTCTCTTTTTTTTTTTCTTTTTTTTTCTTTTTTTTTTTTTTTTTTAAGGATGGTTTAAAATTCATTTACAAAAGCAGAATAATAAGGTTTCTGTGAAAGAGACCTATATACAGTAACAGGACGTAAAGGTCGTTTTGTGTATTACAGGAAAATATCCTTGAAGCCTTTATGACTCTGGAGTCTCTGGGACTTGGACCCTTGGAAACTAAGTTTATTCCACTGCTGGGAACCCAGCACTATCTAGTAATAAGTGAGACAATGAAGCACAAGTTTTGTTTCCAGAAGGAACCGGAACTGCCGTGTGTGTTCTTTTGGAAGGGAACGGAGAGACTGACTTAAGATTTTTATTGTGTAGTTAAGTCATATAGCCTGCTGGTGCCAATTTTTTTAAAAGTTGGAACTTCTTTGCCTCTTGCACTGGTCTCAGAGTGACACTGTCTGCTAAAAGTGCAGAAAGCTTGAAGAGTTTTACATTCTTCTGTAGTGCAATCCTTAAAAATCCCAGAGATTAGTGCCTGATCACTTTTGAAAAAAAGTAGACATTTTACCTAGCCCAGGGGTGCCAAAGTCCTTCTGGCGAACGGCCGCTCCTACCTTCAGCCTCCAGCTTCCACTTCAGAACGTAGCTGCCCTGGAGTCAGACGTTTCACCTTAGAAAGTCCACATATGGCAACATTCTCCAGCAAAAAAAGTACATCGGATGTTGTACTTGCAACAGAAAATGCAGCTGGCCAGCTCCACCATCCATCCAGTACGCATCGGTCCTGTGACACGGAGTCAGAAGTTCCAACAACAAGATCCAAGCTTGAATTTGGCAATCAAAAATGGGTTTGATGCACCCCTAAGCTAGATTTTCTACCTAGTCTAATAAAGTAAAGCACCTTTGGATTAAAAAATACATTAAGCTTAACAGCAACTGGACGTCTCAGTTTTGTAGTTCAATCTCCTTATATCTCCATGGCTTACAGTATTTTCTTGCCAGAGAAAATATCAGTCTGTGGAGTCAAGACTTTCAGAGGGAGGAGCGTATTTCAGCCTAAACGTACCTGGGGGAGAGGAAACAGAAGAATTAAACAGCAGCAACGTTTTCACACCCGCTACACCGCAGAACTTTCTAAAACCACCTGCTGCTTATTAGGTGTGTAAAGCAGGGTTAGAGCGCTCCACCAGCCTGCAGCGCACGTGTTTGCAGCCGGTGGAAATGAAAACCAAAGCGCAGCAAAAGTCACCGGCTTAGATGTAGTTTTAGGGCTGGCAAAAACGCTCGGGAGAGCTCCAGTGGAAATCTAATTCATGAAATGGAATTCAGCTCGAAAAGACAACCGATTACGTTTCTGAAGTTCTCCAAATCAGGCCAGACGAGGCAGCGTCACATCTTCCCCAAGGGCCACTATCAAAACACCAGCCACAGAAACTCCACTAATGAGTTACATTTTAGCACTGCTGTGAATTGCTGCCTCAAAACCAGTCACTTGTTAATTTATAGGAGTCAAATACTTGGGACCTTGTCTGTACATATGAAAATGGACACAGACCTCCACTATAGACAAGACATGATGTAAAACGTAAGACCTCAGTGCTGTTTGCTCCAGTCAAAAGTTGGTATTTCATTTTTTAAGCCTACGCCACGTGCAAATTGTATCAACACAGTACGTCAATTAAAAATGAAAAACGGGACTAGAAAGTGCTCTGGGTAAAGTAACATTTCTCTCTTAGTTGTCTGCTGCCCAGAATTGAGGATTTCAGCTCTCTCCTGGAGAAGCCTGTGCTGTAACCGTGTAAGCAACACGCCCTACAAAATAATTATAGCAGCAAACACGGGACCTTCAAGAGCACTTGAGCAGTAATCCTCATTTCGGTTACTATTTTGGGGAGGAAGAAAAAGTGGGAACAGAGGTCTTTGGTTTGTAAACTTCCAGGGGAACCCGCAGTTCTAACCAAAGATGACCCAGATGACAGTCCCCTGTCCGGAGAAGCTCCTTCCCTCCCTCCCTCCGTGCGTGCTTCCCCCCTCCCCAGAAGCCGGCGGGAGCCCCGCAGAGCCCCCGGGGCTGAGCCAGGCCCCATCCTCCCGCCGGGTCTGCACGAAACGATGTTCCAACTTTGACCGCTACAGCTCAAAACCACCAGCTGCCCAGAACGAGATTTTTTGTACGCAAGTCAGGACCAAGAAAAGATTTGGCACTGCCACCAGACCCCACTCCTGCCCTCGGGGGCACGCAGCCACCCCCTCCCCGGCCCGGCTCTGCGTGTCAGCCACGTCCCGCCCCGGTCCCTCCACCCGCCTTTACCTTGTCGATTGAAATCCATCGGAGGCTGTTTGCAGTCCTGAGCCCTGTGACCACTGGCCCCACAGTTGTAACAGGAGAGATTCCCATTTTTTTTGTGACTCGAACCATTGCTGTTCCCCATCATTCCCTGTGCCTGATACACCCCTGCCGTCCCCGCCATAAAGTTCTGCATGGGCGGTACCGCAAACGTCGACTGCCCGGCCATGACCGAGTCCGGTGCTATCCCGCTGTTGTACGCGGTGTGGACCACGGGGAACGTGGTGCTGCTGTTGTACTGCTGCGTGTTGATGTAGCCGTTGCTACACAAAGGGTTGAAGGGCAGAAACGGAAAAGTAAACATGGAAGGTCCTGAAAAAGGGTGCTGGAAATAGTTAGCGTAGCTGACGGTCATGCCGCTCGAACCGCAGTTCCCGCTGCAGCCGCAGGAGCTGCACACCATGCACCCCGGCGGCTGCGGCTGCTGCTGCTGGTGGTGATGGTGGTGATGGTTCTGGTTTGGTACCGGGACGCTCCCCGCGGACCCGCTGCTGCTGCTGCTGCTGCTGCTGCTGCTGCTGCTGCTGCTGCTGCTGCTGTAGAAGTTGTTCTCGGCAACGGAGGAGAGCGTGGGGCTGGAGCTGGGCGCGGGGCAGCTGGGCAAATTCGCCATGGTTGCGAATGACGTGGAGGGGTGGCTGCTGGAGGAGGCTGCGTTACTGTTTGCGCAGAAGCTGCCTTGCATCGGCGCCACTGGCACGCTGCTCATTGCAGAAAAGGCAACTTTGGTGTTGGCTGTGTACAGAGCAGTCCGGGGATTTATTATTGCAGGGGACACCGTTATTTGCATATTACTGGAGCAGGAAGTCTGCCCGGCAATGGCAGGATCAGTAGGAAGAGACGAAGACACCAGGAGTTTGATGGGTGGACGAGCCACGTGGAAGACTGTGCTGGATGTGACAGTGGCAGCAGTACTCGTTTCTACTATTAATCCCGGCTGCTGAGCTGTTTTTATCACTCTGTCCAGAGTCGAAGCATGCACGACTTTGGTTCGAGGACCAAAGTTAATAGTAGATGTGGGCGAGCTGTTCTCAGCAGCCCCTGACAGCACTTGCAAGGGCTGGTGAGGAGCAGATGCAGACATTACATCCACCACTGTGTTTCCAAAGTTCTTTTCCATTTTTATGCTGCCCCTAGGTCCAGGAGAAACTTTATTTCTTTCTTCTAAAGATAAAAGAGAATGCATAGACGACGAAAGCAGCTTCATGTCTGCGTTGCCACGGTCTGATTTATGCACTGAATTTAGCATCCGGATGGGCGTGATATGAGTAGAGGCCGCTGACATCATTTGCATTGGCAGAGCGTGGTGGCCGGACGGATTGGAGCCTGCATCGTTCTGCACTGGTAGGACCTGAGCCGTGGGTCTGGCAGAGCTCGAGGTGAAATGGTTCAGTAACATCACTGGCTTCTCCTTTTCTGAACCGTCTAAGTGAATCTCTAAACCTAGGGACAGAAACATCCATCAATACAGCTGCTTCACCAGACAAAGCTGGGCAACGCAGGCCCCCGCTTTGGCTCTTTCTGCTTACGTCTCTCGTTCTCCTCGGCGCTGTCCGAGCTCTCTTCCCTTGTCTGGATCCCCATGGGGCTGGAAGAAGAGCTGGAGTACTCGGAAGAGCTGCCCTCCCGGGGCAGGGGGTGGGCTGGCTGATCCACATCCACTCGCAGCTCTGCAGACGAAGGGTGGGCGAGCAATCAGGGAATGCAGACACATGCGGTAACACCTACTCGACCCAATTACAACCGCTCCATGACACACCACCCAACATACAGCGATGCCCAAGACTGCAGACATACAGGAGGTGTAACAGTCGCTGACTAGAGCCATTCACACAGAAGCCACGAAGACAAAACTACTTTTTATTGCACTCCATATACCCAGGAATCAGACTTTTTGATTGCTCCCTATTAAGCCACTGACACTGTGGGAGATAAAGCTTACATACTACAGGTTGGTGAAAAAGCAGCGTGAGAACGAGCTTGCTGTTGTGCAAAGACACATTCAGCCCCGAGAGCACAGCAGTGTCCTCTGCTCCTCTTTCTTACCTGCAGCATGGTTGCCACGAATACTCTGGATAGGCCCTACATGTGTAGTAGGGGGAACCCGTGCCACACCGCTGCTGGTAACTGAAGAAGGTGTTGTGGGGTTGAGGCACCGTTTCTCCGATTTTTCTCTATAGGGCGATGGAGAAACGTGTGAGGAAAGAGAAACTGGCTACAGCACAACAACAGATAAATCGATTCCTGAATGAAACTGAAAAGCCCGCTAAATAATCTGCTACGTGTTAGGCTAATTTCAAATGGAAACATTTGGAAATCACATCAATCTTGACCATAGCTTCTTGCCAGCAGTTGCATTTGGACTATTTGCCATCTGATTACAACGCTAATGCTCTTATTTGTACAAGGTAAATCACCAAACGGTGACTAAATTCTATCACACATGACATAAGCACGTCCCAAATCTAGCCACACACGCCAAAACAAAAGAGAAGCCAAATGCAGTCATTTAGCAAACACGCTCTGGAAAAAACTAAGACTGATGAAAAATGCTGTCAAGCAGCTTTGATAAATGGGCATGGATTTGGATTTTTTAATTGCTCTTTTAAGCAACTGCAGTAGCTGCAGAATAAACATTTCCCTCTAAGTGGGGATACAAAAAGTAGGATAATCTGTTGCATCAGTTTCCCCAAAAGGCTATTAACACTGCACAGAGCACTGGCCTTCTTTAGCTCACCTTCACTACGTAAAGCTGTGATCTTCCTGAGACTGGGGTTACCCGCAACAGCCCTGCCTTTCAGTGGTTTGGCCCCACACAAAGTTAGAAGCCCAGATCCTGTACGAGCATCCTCCGGCAACCCACGCCCCAGCCCGGCGGCCAGCAGAGGCCTGAGCGGCTGCCACGGCCGCCGTGGGTCACCGCGGAGGCTCCCGGAGTAGCTGTGCTCCGTCCACGCTGACTGGAAAGCCAAAAACACTGCCAGGTCTTACGAAGAAAAAATCCTGCTGGGCACCCTGACTTTCTGTGTGCAGCACCTGAGCTTGCAAACCCTACAGGGCTCAGCGCCTCGCTCGCCTCATTCCCTCCTACCCCGTGAATCTCAGGCAGGTGGTAAGCCCAAAATCGAAACAAGCTTTGCACACCTGCTTTACAATATCTACTATACAACTTTAAAAAAAATCCCCTACGCAACAGGATGTGCCTTCTGTAAATTATTTTAAAAATGTCCCCCTCCTTGGAAGAGCTGTCAGTGTGACGGCTGAAGACGGGCATTTATGTTACGGCTGGGTTGCGATATCCTTTTAAAACAGAGTTCACAAATTCTTTACGCTTGGTTATCCTTACCACAACCCTGCACAGGCAACAGTAAACCAGTAAGTTCTAAATATTATCTACAAAGTCCCCGTTTCAAGAGCTTTTCAAAGTACCCGACACGACTGGAGAGGAAGGGAGATAAGGGAGATAATATTATCCGTATTTACAGCTGGGAACCCTGCTACGTTTATAGTCTGGAAAGCAAAGACCATTGTAAAACTTGCATTCAACATCTTATGACCTTAAACAGAGAGTTTTCCTTGCCACTTACTTCTCCAACTCTAGCTGGGTCTTGAGCTTCTTCTTCGCTCCCATGGTGAGGGATTCAAACTTATTTAGATCTTCCTCAGTAAGACTCAGAAACTTGTAAAGAAAAAAATGCATGTTTAGTTTTACAGCCTGAAATATGCTTACTTGCATTTTCAGTAAAGATCAATTCTGAAAGGTTGCTAAAGGCATTTTTTTAACATATGTTAATTCAAAGAAACTCTCTACTCCAGTTTTAAATTACATAATCAGCGTAGAATAAAAGTGTGGGCGACTGGCATGGAGGAAAGAACATCTCTAGATTAAATTTAATTAGGTGTGTGCTTATATTAACCATTCACAGAAAAGTAGAAGTAATTCTTGTACATATTAAAATAGAACTTTGTGCTATAAATGAGCTTAAGGATCTGTTTCTCTTTAAAAGTCACTCTAGTTTTCCCAGTTGTGTCATTTAACAGAAATCAATGTGCAGTCATCTCATCAGTGAATAAAATACAGACACAGAATATGAAAACAAAATATACCCATTTATAATATAATGTAATGAAAATGAAAGCCAGCAAAGTATGCATAATAATATATGCTTTTTAAAAACATACTAGACCACGCACAGTTTTGCTACTTTATTAAAAGAAAAAAACCACTATCTATTTCCCCCCACATAATGAAGAAAATCAAATCAGAAGACTCGTAACAGATAGTAATTAAATGCACACAACATGCTACAGGCAGCACAAAGCCGTCCCAGTTTAGACCTGGCTCAACCTAAGCACTTAGTCCACTGGAGGGCGTTCCAGGCTAAAAGACAGTAAGAGGACATGAATTTTACAGATGGAGCTGGGTAAATGCTGTGGAAGTATTCTATTTAGTTAAAATCCAACACACACAGGTATCAGTTGTGACTCTTACCATGCAAATACATATGGGATTGTTTTTCCCTAAGAATTTCTGCAGAAAACAAAAATCTCATGTTCACTTGCAGGTACGTGCACACGCTAATGTGCGTGTCAAAAGTCTCCCAGAATCCATTTTTTTAAATAAGGATAACCAAATATTTTGGGAGAAAAATCCATCGAGATGCAGAAATTTTTAGAAAATCAACCACTTTTAGTTATCTCCTGCACATCAAGGGGATGAACAGGGAGCCAAAGCAGAGCTCCTAAGGCAGCATGCAAGTTAGATCTTCAAGAATTCCGAAGCAGCAGCAGCTGCTGAACAGCCCAGGCCCCGGACACAACACAGACCAAAAACAGAAAGGTTTTCATCAAAATATTATTGCTTCAAGATTGTGCAAACCTTCACAGCCTTTGCCAGTAACTTCTGCAACTCTCAGTGCAGATGTCTGCAGCCTTCTCTCTGCACTACGGAATGTAAAGATAATTTAAAAGCTGGCTCCCTTTTCTTTATCTACTGCCCTACCTTCTCCATTGTGAGCTGCTTGAAGACAGGATAGTATTTGTGCAACCGCAGTTTCCTGAGCCAGTCTAAGATCCCGTTTTGCTCCTGTGTCTGAGGGGTCTGTGGACTGGAAGACATTAGCATGGGTGCAGAGGTGGTGTCCATCTGGGCGCGATAGGCCAGCGACGAGCCGGTACCTCCCGCGTGGGAACAGTGGGGCAGTGCAACGGGGGCAGCAGCCGAGTGCTGAACGTGATTCTGAGAAGACTGAATGCCAGCCACTCCACATATAGGTCTGCAAAACAGTAACGTAATTCGGTTTAGCCCACTGCATCTGTGTCACTCGGGGTGCAGCTACTAACGCCGCGCGAAGCTATGGCTGCCGGGGTTTCTGGTAAAACCTGCACTGTTTGATCCAAGTTACAGATTTGTACCTACGCTGTTCAATAGCACAATAAAACCACTGCAGTTTATGGCAAATAGTAAGCTTTATCTGCAGCTGAAGCAAGAGGTTTCCTTCTATAATCACAGATAATAGATGTTCTACTACCTCTCTGTGATTTAGAAAAGATTTAGAGAGAATGGCCGTGTTTTTGTTTTTTTGTTTTTGTTTTTTTTTTTTCTTTGTTTTGTTTTGTTTTTTTGTTAAAAAGAATAAAAGAAGCCCAAATACAACCCTGTGGAAATTTTTTTTACATGTGGAAGTAGCAAAATAACCCACAATGTTGGCTCCTTGGAGGGTTCCAGTTTTTGTTGGAGAAAATGAAAATTGCCTGAAGAGAATGACTTCTGGGTTTGCTAAATCCTCACAGAAGGCAAGAGAATTTCTTTCCTTCTTTTCCCAAGGCTGACTTTACCTCCCTTGGAAGCGGTTTCCTTCCCCCCTTTGAAAGGAAAACTTCTCCTGTACAAGGAAACATTCAAATATGACTTAGAGAGAAAAAACCCTTTCAGTGATACTCTAGTCTCCCCTTGCCCATGAAGAGTTATACAAGGGATGACCAGATTTGCACCTACAATTCAGATGATCATTATTCCTTTTAAGTATGTGATTGAGACCATTATGACTTATGCAGTAAGCAGCAGATCACAAAGAAATCATCCATCACCGCAGCTCAACATTGAAGTGCTGATGCCAATTAGTAATTCAAGCTTTAAACATTTTGAGAAACGCTGCTTAGAAGGGGTGTCCAATGGTTTTACTGCCAGCAGAACGCTGCAATCGTCTGCTCTCATTTCCCATGTAACACTGGTCAAAAGGTTTCCCTAAATTCTTCCCTGAACATAAACATTTTTTAGGACAAGAGAGCCACTGCTGATTTCATAACCGCCACCACCAAGAGACTCTGTCACGATGCTAGAAAGCTTGGTCCAATGATAATTACATTTTATCTACTTTATTTTTGAAGCTGAAGTTGAATTCTGTCTTCCAATTCCAGTAATTATATCATGTCATATTTTGACTTGCAAACTGTCTGTTACCTGAGTTTTCTTGTCTTTGTGATCAACTCACTGCAAAACTTGTCTTCAAGCAATTCCTATACTGTCCTCCTGCAGTTATTATTTTAAGATGTGTTTTCTTATGGCATGTGAAGGATGAACAAATGACAACGCTAGGAATGCTAGCAGTACCTTACACGGATATTCTCACCATTTGTCTGTTTTGGGTAGACCACACACTAAGGCTAGAACTTCTTTAAATCATCTACAGATGAATATGGAAGTGTAGATGCAAATAAATCCCCAAGGAGAGACAGATGATCACCTATGTAATGGGGTTTTACAGCTAACCAGAACAAATGTAAACAAAATAAATACTTCACCTTCCAGATGTTCCCAGCGTAGTTCCTACTTTATAAAGGGAGGGGTTGCCAGGATCTAAAAACAGGGAACACAAGTGGCATCAGTTCATGAAATGTACATCGGTACAAAAAATTCATTTTAAAACTCGGTTGAAACTTACTTGAACTCTGAAGTTGCTGTGAAGGAGATGAAGTGCTGAAGAACTTTCTAACGTGGTCATTTTTCACCACATGGGAAGGTAATGGTGCCAAATACCTGCACGTTCATCAAAAGAAAACAACACCCCCCCCATTCCGTTATATTTGATTTGCAGTTGCCTATGCAATCATGAATGTAGACTGTACATGAAATTTTGAAATTGAATTTGAAATTTTTTAAACTAAAACATTAAACACCTTTCGAATTAGTAACACCATGCAATTCTGAATCAAAGTAGACTTTAAATGTATGGGTATTCTTATCCTTAATACTATTTAAGCACGTTACCATTGTGTTGCTTTCACTGTGTTTAGCATCTCCGTAAAAAAAACCTTAATTTAGGAACATTGAACACTCATAAGGCAGAAAATGTTCAAATATAAACTTGAAAATTTCCTTTCAAATTCACAGACCTGAAGACCACAAAATATAAATGTATCCGTTATTTAATTTTCTCCTCTTCAAGATAAACAGCAGATGCAGAGTCTGGCAGTGTAGTGAAAAAGGCTGTAAAACTTATGTCACATTTTCCCTGGGATTGCTGTGCCTCTCTTGGGGGAAAAAATGCTAGTCTCCTAAAACTTTGCAATGTATAAAGTGCCTGAACTTCTCATGGTCATGCAAACTCGACTGCCTTTTGCCAAATCTTCTACAGATTTGAAAACGTATAGAAAATGGTTTTAAAAAGAGAGCATTTTGACCGTATCTTCGCTGTTTTTAAAAAGTCTTTGAGTAAAAAATAATTCAGCTATACACACACACAAATGGCCTTCCACCTTGAAAAAAATCACAGTTCATTTCTGAATTTTTCAAATACGTAGCACTTAAGAGGACAGCTTCTTTCTCTGCTCCGAAGATACAACCATTGCTGTGTACATGCAGATTGCTGCTCTATTAACCTAGATTTGTAGTGACTGGTGCTAGCTAAACAGCAGCAGCAGCAACACGCACTCTCCCTTAGCCTCCCTCGTTCTCATCAATAGGCTGTGATCCTCGAAGCACAGAAGGGTCTATTTGAAATGTTAATGCTGTTTGCCATGAAAAATAATCTAGGCATGCACCTGCTAGCTCTGAGTGTGAAAAACAATATCCACTGTAGCTCTGCCAATGGTGGACAAAAGCCGGTCTTGATTTAGGGAAATTAGGTGTTTAGCTGAAGCTCTAACAAAAGTTAATTAGTATTTTAAAATATCATTTAATAATTTGCACAGATACAGGCAGTAGTAGCTGAAAATAATTAAAGTCCCTCAAATTTTCCTCACAAAACTATTTCAGTATTTAGAAAGAGAGAACTACTGCGACCTGCCACAGATGATGATTTTTAAAATGGTGTTTTAGATTAGATAATGGCCCGGTGATTTGTGATAATGTGAGGAGGTACTATCTAAAGCTTCAAAAATTTCTTAGCTGTTAATGACTTCCAAAAACGTAATGGTTTTAATATATACATACATACTTAACTTTTTAAAACTAAAGTAAAATAAATACCATGATGACCTGAAACAACTGAGACAATAAAAAACTCTGTGAAAGGGTAGGGGGGAAAAAAAAAAAATCTCCACAACCCATCCCTCAACGCAGAAGGATGACTATTCAGCCAACTATTTTCTCCTGAGTTTTGGGAGGTTTTTTTAAAGCAGTTTTGGCTATTCTTTGAGCCCAAACCAAGATTCTGCAAAGCAAATGATCCTCTATTTGTTTTTAACTAGGAATGAGGAAATGTCAATTCTCCAGGAAGCTTAATACAGAAGATTATTACCATCTGTATTTCTGAAGAATGAATTCCTGAAATATTCTTATGCACTGGAATTAGTAGAACATTAAGAAATAATGCTTAGGATCAAGTTCTAATTTCTTGAAAGCAATTTAGAATATAAACATAATATTTCTATTTCCTGTTTTTTCCTTCCACTTGTCGATAAAAGCCAAGTGCCAAGATCAAACAAACAAACAAACAAAAAAAACCACAATAAAAAACTCAGCATACCTAAGGTCCGATTCCAGGTCCATGTGGTTCCGTTCTAGGTAAAATGAATCTGGACCAGCTAGGCAAGGAATGAATTTTTCCAAGTTTTCTTCTGGATACAGCTGAGATAGCTAAAGGTGGAGGATATTACAAGCAATAAGTGAAAAGAAGGGTTGTTTCTCATATGAGATTCAAGGCTCAGCAATTTATAAGTCAAACATTTTATGAAATTCAATCTATCTGTATTATCTCAGTACATTTTGAAAAATGCCATTGAGCAAAATTACATACAGGGACAAAACTTCTCTCTGTTTTCGAAGTATTTTTCATATCTCCTTTACCTTTGAAATAAATTCAGTCACTTCAGCGGAAGATTTGGTTACCAACGTCACTGAAGAATCAGACCACAGGACCTTAGGAAGTAAAAAGTATTCAGTTTAGTAACGAAAGGACAGGGATTTAAGTTTGGCTCCAAAAGATCAATAATGGATATCCAGCATCCCCCACAGGCTGCAAGGAAGTTTGTAACGTGTGACATCAACAAGGAAAAACTTTTTTTGTGCACAAGTAACTATTACTCAGTCCTCCCTTGCTGCCCGATTCTTGCTGTTATTATACTTAACAACTATTCTGAATGCTTAAAAAAGCACTTCATAGTTTACACAGCCATTGGACTCTGCAGACATCCAGTATTAAGGAACAGACTACTAAGTAATGGAAATTTTTTTTATTATTATTTTTGTTAAAGAAAACAGCTGGTTTGTAGAATCTGATGTACAATATGAACAACTCACCACAGCACAATAGTGCCTATTTATAATTAATGAACGCCACATGCCAGGCAAAGTTGAAGATGGCCGCAAATCCCCCCCGCTGCAAAAAAAGGCAAAACCTTAGAAATGAAACCTGCAGTTACTGCTCTGGCTTTGCTCCTTAGACACCATTTTGTATATGCCCCAGAAAAAGGAAATTGTTCAGTATCTCTTCTCATACGCTTTCTGCATTAAGTCATTACATTCTTAGATACAGAGGCATTTATTGGTTGGTAGATGATTAGTTTAACTGAGCCAAAAGTCAGGATTTCTTGGCACGACAAATACCAGCATGAGACTGGCCAGTCATAAGTCCCTTCAGACTTAAGATATCTATTCAAGACATTTGGAAGGCATATAGATCTTCAGCAGTTCTATAGGGGAAGAAGTTGTTTTTATGTGTTTAAGGATCAGGAGGCCATCTTCTCACATGACACAGTTTCAATGACAACTGAAAACATACACAAAGATTTTCCAGCCATCAGAATGCTGCCAGAAAGACTGCTGAGAGGAGAGTATTTCAAAATATATTACATAATGGAGGAATTTCCTCTCTGCAGAGCTGTTACACAAAAAGTAAAGTGGGGGGGGGAAGAAAAGCAGAAAGAAAACTTAAGCCTCTGGGTTTTTGTTTTGTTTTTTTTTTTTTTTTTTTTTTTTTTAATTTCATGATAAACGAATAATTTTTCCAGATTCATGAGAAATTTCTCTTTCTTTCTTGTTTTGTAATAACCCAACATTCGTTATGACTTATGTTTTGCTAACTTGTTATAATTTTCAATACTTATAAAACAATAACGTGAACAGTAAATGCAAGAAACAATAGCATTGCGAGGCGATGCTGAAAACACTAAACTGCTCTACTGACCTTCTATTCCCAAGCTACTAAACAAAGCATTTAATAGTTGGGTTTCTAACCCAGCAAACAGCAATTTTTTTAGCTCAGCTAAGTTATGTACTGTTCTTTCAGTTACAACCTGTCAACTAAAATACTGGTAAAAGTAATTTCTGCTATTTATAGAAAAATTTATAATAGGAAAAGATGTTTCACAAGATACTAATATGTAACCGGAATCCAGACAACTGCATACTTCATGAAGATTTTTAAAGCCCCTTGAAAAAAATCCTTTCTAGTATTGATGACATTTGGTACAATCATGGGATTCAGAAAATTCAGAACATTATCCATGAATCAAGTCAGGCAGAGGTTAACGCTGTCAACATCACAAGAAGCAGCTGAACTGATGCTCTATCATGGGTGGTGGTTTTAAAGAATAACTTTTTTGTAAAAGTTGTAGATAATTGAAATTCTACTGTCCATTTTCTTTCGGGTTCTCCTTTTCTCATCAACTGTTTGGCTCCGTTGCCTCATTAAGCAAACGAAAGACATTTTCTGGGCTTTGCATTCTGAATTTTGGAGTAAGTTGTTCCAACTAGATGGGAGAAAAGCAGTTTGTCATTCTTACTCGCCAGCACCCAGAATCCACTATTAACACAAGGTTTCACAGAATGAAGTCATCCTTCCACAGAAATTGTGAGCAATGACCGAACCTCCAAAAGCTGAGTAAAAAAGGGGGGGAATTCAATTCTCCTAGCAGCTTGTGGCTAACCACTCTCATTCCAAAGAAACTATTCTCACTTCCAGTTTGAATTAGTCTGGCTTCAATTTTCAGACAACAGTTCCTGTTATGTTTTTTTCTGCTAGATTAACGCCCCCTTTACTGTAAAATATTTTATTCCCTTTGAAAATGCTTTTATATGACACTGAAAGTCACCTTTCAGTCAAGTTCTTTAAGTCTCTCACTACATGGCACTTTTCTCAAGTCCTGAATAATTTCCACAGCTATTTTCTGTACTCTTCAACACCCCTTTTAACGCCTGAACCATATGCCACAGTCTCACACTCCCCTCAATGCTGAATGCAAAGATAAATGACCATCCTACCTCTTTTTCCATACATGCAGCAGAGCCTGAAGAGTCTAAATTCTCATTTGTCCAGATTAAGACTTACATTCTTCCTAGCTTCTGCATTCCAGCACAGATAACCACGCTATAAGTGTGGCATGATATTTTCTTCTACATATACTTTGCCACAACTTGCTGCATTAGAATGAATTTTTTTTTTTTTGCCTGTGTCCCACTTACCAGACAGTCTCCGTCTCTGTCATCATCCGCAAATGTTTATCAACAGCCATCTATGACTACTTCCAAATCATTGATTAAAAAATATGACTACCATCTATCCCAAAGGAGCTCCACTAGACTAATTTCCGGGATCTAACAATAAAGTCTGAGAATGTCTTTAACTCCTCCTTAAGTATTATCCTCCCTTCCTTTATAGAAAAAAAAAAACAAAACAAAAAAAAAAAAAAAACAAAACAAAACAAAAAAAAAGACTAAAACTTACCTCAAAGGAATATTCAACATTTCTTTCATTCTTCTTGTGTGCCAGTCCCTTTAATTCCACTTTTTCAACACTCACTATGAAAAAACAAAGAGAGAAGAAGAATGAGGAGGATATTCTTAAATGCATGGAAAAGTGATGACTCTTCAGCAGTGCCAGGACTTGCTTTGAGAGCGTCCGATGACTTGTGGCAGTGTTTCAGGTGCCCAGCTCGGGCTGGCCTCACGTGGCAGACAGGAAGGTTTTCAACCAGTACCCAAACAACACAATAAATGCAGAGTTCTTTATTTCCTCACGGCCTTATCATACCATTCATCAGTGTAATAACAGCTACACAAACATGCATGGATTTATCTTAATAACATTAAGTAGCAAATACCATCCCTCTGAGAGAAAACTGGTGTACAGAGAAATGAAGACGGGCAAAAGCCTCCATGTTTTCAGGGGCTGATTTTGCAAGGAGTTTAGTGTGGTTTTATTGCCGTGTTGATATCACAACTCCTCCTTGACAGGAGTTTCATGGAAAATTTCAGCCTCAATTACTGCAATTTGAGTAAGTTGTAAGTAAAAACAGGATCTTACTGTGGAAAGGGGTTGAGTAACAGTACAGGTCACTGCTTCCATCTCTACATATGATATGCAGCCTTTAAAGACACGATCTTACACATCAGATATTTGATACGCTAAATTCTTGGAGACTCTCATTTCTCAATACACACAGGTCAGAAATTCCACCATGCTAAACTTTATGAAGATTATTTTACTGACTTGCTATTTCTCCTGCAAATTTCTCCTGCCTTTTGACTGCACACATAAGGATATACACACAGAATTTTTCTTATAAAAAGCCAATTTACATTGGATTAGAAATTCAAAAGCAATTATACTAAAACAGTGACTAGAATTTTACCTCCAAGTGACAGGTGCTTGAAGGGATGCATGCTGTGTATATCGTGTTTTCACTTAGTGGTTTTAACAAACAAAACTCAGAGCCCTACCGTTTTGTTTCTGGGGAATCTCCATTTACAAGACACTTCCCTGTTTTCAAGACTATTTATACGCTGTATTACCTGTAAGACTCAAAGCTATGTTTATCACATAGAACTTCCTCATAACTGCATGCCAAAAGAGTTGCAGTGCAAAAGTCACAGTGGCAACATTACAACAGGCAACCCGTTTCATCACCAGCCACACATCTCCCTATTCCCCACAGTGAGACTTCAGCCAAAGCCACCCTATTGCCTGTCTGGAGCTTGATTTTTCCTTACCTTAAAAGAATAGGACTTGGAGTCTTTATTGTGGCCATTTAAAATTTTTTGTTGCGTCATGTTCATTTAAAAATCTTACAACTCAGGTCTTGGCTGTTTTAAAGACCTCCTCATTGAGTCTTATTTATTTGCAGTTGAAATTTTTAGAACTGGCAAGTTTTAATAGATCTACAGATGTTCATGCCTGTCTTTAAAACACAGAAGTAATATTGCTTTTATGAGCATAACAACCGTTCCTTCTCCAGGTAAATTCCCAATTACAGTAACATAAATCCCTGCACTTACAAATAATGTCAATTCATTACTTACTACTTTCTCCTGCATATTATGCTTTTTGTAGAATTGCTCCTCTAAGTTTTCAGTGGATTCCTCTCACGCTTCTGAAATGATTTTACAGTACTACCGTGCTGTTACATTGCATGCTGAGCACCACAGGAATAAATCTTCTGCAGATACTGATGAGCTATCTAGGCAGTATGTAGTGGCATGAAGATTTAAACATGCACACGGCTCCCAGGTTTTCTTTTAAGAAAAATCTACCTCAGTACACTTATTTAAGAGAATTCAGGGCACCCTTAATTATGATCACAGTTAAAACACTGACTGGAATTGTATGTACTTCAGAATTTCAAAGAACTTGTAAGCAGATATCGAGAGGGGGTATCACCATACTGTTGGTGAAACAGCTGAAGGATGAGCAAATTAACTTGTAGAAAGCCTAGTGTCAACTGCTGCAACATCTGTTTCTGGAGTAGGACAAAGAAAGTCAGAAGGACATAGCAAATGTTACTTAACATTTGTTGCTTATAGCAAATCCAGTGTCACTTTACTGAAAGTGTTCTTGTAATTGGTATTTATATTCAAATACCATCTCATCTATCTATTCATTATTACTCGACAGTGATTCAAGCAAAATAGTATTACCTATCAATATAAAATAAAGCTATTTCTGTTTTACGATGTGGGTTAATAACAAACTTTAAATGACCTCATGGATTTTGTTGTGCTGACAGTTACATGACCTTATCATGCTGAAGTTCTGGACTGGACTTGTTCAGTTTATATAATCTGATGCAATGAATTTATTCTCTGGAAAAATGATTGCAATTAGCAAAGTGAACCATTAGGTAGATATTTCTGCACTGATTGCAGTGATCCTAAACGGAATCTTGTAAGATTAGGTCTGCTCTAGAGCATGAAATATAGTTCATTGTGCAAAAGTGATATGCTTCTAGGGAAAACTGACTGGATCATTTCTAGTGTTATACAAAATGCTCCAGTAATTTCCCCCCGCCACTAGCTAATACTGTGAAAAGTATCATCCATCTAAAAAATTCTAGAGTTCTTGTTTAATTTGTCAAGTTGTATGTTTTTGTTATGTGGCCTCTCACAAACTCTTTGTATTATTTACCTTGTGGTTAGTTTTATTAAAATAGCCTTCCTAAACCTACCACGAAACTTAACTTTATTCAGAGCAATGAATCACACAAAACTCCAGAAGAAAAATGTGCCATCTACCAGGCAGGTGTGAGTGAACATTAAATTTCCTGTCTAAGAAATTACACACTTTTTGAGAGTATTTACTCTCAAAAGCATGGGAAATGGCTCAGAGAGCTGACTCTACTCCGTATCACCATAAATGATTCCATGACCAGAAAAACCTTTGTACAGAATTAAGAACACATGATACTGTTGTCTTTTCAGGATGCTGAACTCAGCAAAACTCAAGCTTCCCAACCCAGGGGATTAAAAAAAAAATATTTCTAATTCAAGAGGTAGCCAGAGCAAGTATATTTGCACCACATTAAATCTGAGCTTTAGGTCTAGAACTAATCAATGGGAACTCAGCCGCAAGTAGTCCAGCTATGCTCTCCACGTTAGGCTTTGTTGTTGTGCATGGGGCAGGAACCGAGCAGAGAAGCCTGGCAGGGTATCAGCCATGACACGAGATCTCAGAGACGAACCTTTCTGTCTGCTCCTCTCTCCCAGCACCTCCCTGTAAAATGATCCAAAAAAAGTGCTCGTGTGTGTATGCACGCATGCCTCCCTCACTGCTAGGCCGCCTAAGCTGCACAGACAAGGGGACACATAAGACTTTTAATCATGGAGATTTATCCATAATTATCTGGGGAATTAAGGCAGGTAAGTGAAACAGTCAGATGAGATCACAAATGACAAATGAAACACAGAAATACAATGGAGGGTTGTAGAACTCAGTGGCTTAAGAGAGGCTCCCGTTGAAGCTGTGGCACCCTCTGTTACAAGTCTTGTGGCACCATTCAGAAAAGGGCAGAGTACTGGGGCACACAACCCTAAACACACATTCATGGTTACTAGAAATCAGATTTTTCAATAGCTGAACCTTTAGTCTTTTGCTGAACTCTGCGCTGAAAGGGGAGCAGAGTACAAAAACATCTTCAGTCACTCAGAGATCAAGTTTCCTAAGGGTTGTTTTGTTTTGTTTTATTACTTTATTTGCTCCTTTCATTTAAACATGAGAGAAGGAATCTTCGCTTAGTTTTCAACTGTACACAGAAATGCATCAAGAAGGGAAGCTTGCATTTGAAATACTACCACACAGAGGTATGTCAGAAATCACACCCATTAGAGGACAAAGGCATTTTTCTCCTATCCAGTGTTCCCTCACACCCCTGTTCCCAAATGCCCAGATCCAGTGAGGTCGAAGACATTTTATTCAGTTTTGTTTTCCTATCCTAGCCTGGTTTGTTTTACCCATTTGGCCACCATTAGTCCATTTGCCATCTGATCGGTTGAGTGTTTCTGTGAAGGCACAGACAACTCCTTCCCTCTCCTCACCACCAGGTATCATGAAACCCTCTGCCTTTCCTGGTGCCAGCCACTGCCCAGCCTCTCCCTCAAAGAGCAGGATCCTGGACATCCTCCTCCTACAATGGCAGCAGCTCCGTAAAGTAAAAGACCCATGAAAACTCTTCGGGATTAGACACTCCTGGCAGGTCAAGGTCAAACATACACTGGATGTGGGCAAGAGCAGAAGAGACATTTTTGGAAGCCACCTTAATATCCCCATTGGAGGTTGTGGTTTTTTATAACACTTTTTTCAACTTCAGGATCATGCCACTGTTAACCAGTAAAAAGACTAGACAGATCACAGAACTGTTGTGTTCCTCCTGAAAAAGTGCATAAAAAAAAAAAACAATATCAAGATAATCACAAGTGTTGATTGAAGGCTAGTCCTTTTACATAATATCCAGTATTTTAGCACTAACACCAGCACTTTAGAATTAAGTCAAATACCCATACCATCTTTCATCGGTTTTATTTTGCATATCAGTATAGTTTGTACCACTATGTTTTCCCTTTGATTTCATAAATAGCTTTACATTGTGCCTTTTTTTAGTGGTTTCTTTACCAAAAGAATACATATACCTGAGAGTTTAGCGCTTTTTTTTGTACAACACTAGATGAAAACTACAGATAAGACTGCAAGCCAGGAGCACGTCACGAGAGCTAAGCAATTGGGTTAAAGTGAATGACATTGAAACAACCAGGAAGAATTTACCAAACAGAGTAATTTCTACTCACACCTAGTTCACTGCATGTAGGTCCACTTTGTGGGACAAATAGCATGGAAATACTGTTGTCCAGCATTCAGGTGATAAAATTTAAGTGTCATAAGACTAGGTAGAACCTGTGCAGCTCTTGAGACACGGTACTTGACAGAAATGCTACAATTTATTTTTAAGGAGGAAAAAAGTCGTAAGCATATCCTTTAGTTTGTGTTATACAGGAGGCCAAGTACATAATCATAGTTGATGCTTCTTGATTTT